CCACATCCCTTAATCTCGACGATCGAGTGAGGGATGGATATTTTAGCTATGATAAAGGCCTAGTCTAGGGTCAACTATGTTATCATAGTGTGGTTCTTTTCTAACCTTATGTTACCATGACCTTTTTTATCTCTATAATGGAGTGATAGCATAGTACATGCTTGGATCATTGATGAGACCTTGGTTCCTTAGCTTGTGCTATGGATCCTTTGTTATCGATCATTAAGTCTGTATGACATTAGAAAAAAACTTTCTTTGATTGTTCCATATTAAAACTTTTAGTATCTTGTCATTGTAACTACCTTGGAAAACTCCTCACATTATAAGTGATCTATCTCTATAGATCTATACTCTTAGATTGTAGGTTTCTCTCACATGTCATCATTGGAAATTTCATTTAGATTCCTTAATATTTTGGTTACAACATGATAATATTATAGTCGAGGTGTAATTTTGTGTCGAATAACCATGATTTTGTAGGCTCCCACTAGCTCCTTAATTGTATAAGATATGTCTTTTTTTTACGAATAATCAAACTTTTTGATTGTTTCATAAACGTGGACTTATATTCCTAGAGGCTTGCTTAGGTCTATTAATGGACCTTAGCCTTTTGTAAATCTTATTAGCATGTTCTTGAGAACCATTAGGGTGTGTCAACTACACATACCTTTTATTTACCTTTTACAAGAATCAATGTCCGACATTATTATTTCAAAAGAATTAGCTTCGTCGTCCCTTTTAGGGCTCACATCAAAATATGTTAAGACGAAAAAAATCATATCCCTTTTGTCTTTTTGATGAATCTGTTTTGAACTTTTGAAATTCTTATGTTTTTATTTGTGAGAGAATTACAACACTTTGTAATCATTCTACTTTAGGATTCCTTTGTTAAAGTGTTAATTTGTGAGTTTACTCAAATCTTATTGAGATTAAATTTCCTTCCACTATTTCCAGCATCAATAAATTTCTTCCTAAGGAACATAATATGCTTAGTAAGGAACAACATTTTTTTCTAGTGGTAAGATATTGACATCTTAATCTTACTTTAGGATATCTCATAATCTGGCACTTTATTGATTTTAGGCTTTATTTTGTCTTTGTCAAACCCTTTGACATACACTTTATAGCCTTAAATATTAAGGGAAGATAAGTTCATTTTCTTTTGTTCCCATATCTTATATGTGATATATTTCAATAGATCAGAATTCTATTAATCTCAAAGGCTGCACTAAAGAGTATTCATTCATAATTAGAGATATTAATTCGACTCATCATAGATTGATCATGTCTAATATGAGATGTCCATAGAGAATCTCATTCTCTTTTAGGTCATCAAACATTTTAGTATTTAAGTATTCAACTTTTTGATCTAATCGAGATGCTTTAAAAACTCTTGCTAGTTCGTCACATGACTTTTCAATTTTAAACTTTTAAATATTTTAAATGTTTTGGACTTATGTCTTATAGCCATAACATGATCCATTATCATTAATAGTTATGTGACAAGCATGTTCTCCTCTTCCTTGGGTGAATATATGCCCATATACATCTCTATGTATAAGGACTACATTGATTAGTAACTCTTTCTCCTTTTTAACTAAAAGGGGATACATGTCTTTTAGTAAGTAAACAAGATTCCTTAGACATCATCAAATGATTCTAAATATCTTATTGTATAAGTAGGTTGGATATGTGATTCTTTCTTGTATGACTAAGTTTGATGTTTTCTTACTAATTAATGATTATTTAGATCATTTGAGTATTCTAGTATTTATGTTATACATTTGGGAGTTATGTCTAAAACATATAATTATTATCAAAATAATTTCATAAATATTCATCATTAAAAATGACTATTATTCTTAAAAATGAAATACTTATTCAAAATAAAAAATGAAAATAAGATCTTTAGTCTCTACTAAAATAATAATGATTGAGTTGTAGCACATCCCAACATGGTAGTGGTAGCTCATAACTACCTACATCTAATGGTCTAACTTTTTAATCCATTGTTGTTATGTCGATATTCTCCATTGAAGTTATCATCCTTCCTTTTCTAAGCTTCGTACATTTCAAAAATGTAAGCATCACATTTAGTATCATATACTCATAAGGTGGAATTTAGAAATAAAAGGATTATTATTGATAACATAAATACCGAGGTGGTGGTAGAACTCTTCTTTTGCACCCCTTTTAGGTACTCCTTGCAATTACGCTTCCAATGCCCTTTCTTGTTGCAATGAAAGCAAACTGCATCCTTTGGGCTATTCCGAGCCTAGGCCTTTTTCACTCCCTCGTTAGGTGCGGTTGAAGACTTCTTCTTCTTTTTGGTCTTTTTCTTACCTTTTCTGCGCCTTTTCCCTTATTAACTAGGGGTATAGAGCTTTTATTCTTCTTGTTAATTTTGGATCGAGCTTCCCTTAGCATGGACAATAACTCTCCAAGAGTCTTTTACATATGCATCATGTTGAAGTTTATGATGAACTCGTCCAAAGCTATTATACAACGATTGCAATACTAGATCAATGGATAATTTAGCATCCATTCTAACTTAAAGTTCAGCCGGTCGGTCGATATAGCCTATCATTTCGGTGACATGCTTTTTGACATCGGATCCTTTATCCATTCTAGCCCTAAAGAGCTTCCTTGCTATCTCATAGCGCTCATACCAAGTATTCTCCTCAAATAAGCTTTTGAGCTTTACTATGATATCAAAAGCTTGTGAGCTTATGTGTTAGCACTTATGCTCTAATATTATAGTAGCAAGTATGATGCTCTAAGAAGTAATCACATCATCTCTATGTTTGATCTATGCTTCATGAGCTTCGACTTGAACTAGAAGAGGCTCATTTGGAAGAGCTTTCTCTATTGTATAGAGAATTTTCTCATGTTTGAGGACTATCCTCAAATTCATTTTCTAGTCGAGGAATTTTGTGCCATTAAAGGCATTACTTCCATCAATGAACAACGTATCGATGTGTTACCAGTCATACCGTGTAATATGACAAGATAGAAAAACGAACGGTTTGGTTAATTAAATTGCATGAAATTAAACAAAACATAAATTAAAGAAGTAAAATCTATGTTCACTCATATTATTTTCTTCAAGTTCTATAACCTTCAATATAGTACTCAAAAAAACTTTTTGATTCGTTTTCCTTGTAGGTTAGGATCCCATCCTCTAATATGCATTAGCCTTGAGTTATCTCAACAAACCATACATGAAGGATTAGGTAGGTAACTCCTTACTAATTACATCTAATGTAATTGCTAATTCTATTGGTATGATAACTCCTCGTCCTAATCACATCTTATATGAATATCAATCCTCGCTTACAAGTTTATTAGACCTTAAGCTATCTCAACAAATCCAATAACTCATTTAAATTAGACCCAATATTCTAGGACATCGCATGGCCTATGATTTATTTCCCTCGAGAAAGAAGTGACTTTGAGTTATCTCAACAAGTCAATAACGATCAAGAAAGTTCCCACCTCATAACGTTGGAAAGCAATTAACTTAGTATTTTATTTGAAGGATTTAATGTAGTTGGTCTCATCTTAGCATGCAAACTAAAGAATAATTACATTATTCCTAATCATACATACTAACATTTATCTCATCACATTTATACATCTCATGCATGACTCGAGGACCGATGAATGATAATTGATTTCTAGTACTTGCTCCTTCGAGCCATAAAGAGACTATAGGTCAATTCCTAGGTGAAAAATTATTAGAAATTCTTTATGAATGTCTTCATTCTTTGGCATCTTCTCCTTGTATCTATTCTCATTCTTATCTTCTACTTTTACATTTATTCAAAATAAGAAACCTCGAGTTACATTCGAGGGGAGTAAGATGAGAGAAGAAATACAATGGAGCAATTGAAAAGCTAGGACACGCAAGTCCTATTTATCATAAAATAACAAGCATTAATTCATAAAACTAGGTCAACTCATCCATACCATTCACCTATGCTTCAATCATATTGATACATGGCATACTAATGAACCAATTTCATTCATAAAATGATTATAAATCTATAATTTTGGTCATTTTATAAATTTATCAAAATTTTTCTAAATTTTAATTTTAAAAACTTTTTAGGCCTTGGGCCCATAAGCTTTTGGGTTCATGGGTTTTGAAGCCCAAACTCTCGGGTTTGTATGCGTCTACCCGCTGACCACTAGCTTAGCATGAAAGCTAAGGGTGTTCGTTCGGTTTCAAAATTTTTCGAATGGTTTTTGGTTAACCAAATTCTTTAAAAAAAAATAACCAAAATTGAATCGAATTATTATTCGATTTTTCGATTCGGTTTCGAAATATATCGATTTCAATGTTCGATAATTCGATTTTCACCCGTTTTATTTTTTTGACAAATTTATTTGAAGAAAATATAAAGTAAAAGGAAAATATAATAGTGAACTCTCATGATCATTGAATTTACATAAATGCATTTTGCATCTACAATGCGAGGAACAATTGATCAATTATAAGCTTGTTGCCATTGCATTTCTTGACATAAGTTTCAACATGAAAACCAATACAAGTTGAAGGACTTGCTCATTAAAATGAAAGATATAATCTTTGAGAGAGAGAGGGAAGGGGAGAGAAAGGGTTTCGTTTACATGTCAAAGAAAGCTTGGAGCTTAGAGTCAAAACATTGAATCAAAATCTGTTCTCGGAATTCCCTTAGCTCAACCTTACCGATCAAATCACATTGCATAGTCTTCTTCCTTGCAAGTGCATTAAACAACTCATGCAAACTCTTTTAATTCTTTCATTCCTGCCATCACACAAATTAACACATATCCTTCAAAACTCATAAACTAACTAAAGTAAATAACATTTACTCCAAAACATGCACCTTAACATATATACAAGAGAGAAGGTAGGTAATTTTCATAAAAGTACCAATACATTCACAAAATTGGGCACGAGGAAGCAAACCCTCTATAGAAGTAGTAATTTCATCGAATCTCATCTCCACGATAGCCTATCCTATACCATCATCAGCCTTGCTAATAAAATTAAGTCTTTTTAAAGCATAAGCAGTTGTAGATTTAGACTCGTCAAGGTGACCAGGAGGAGGCCTCTTCGAGAATAAAGTCAATCATTTTATTTCATGAGAAACCTATCTAATTCTTGCTGAAGCAGTTCTTACAACATTGGAAGTAGATCTTTTCTCTAGACCTTTAGCAAATAATGTCATCTCGGGATCTTCTTCGACGTGATTTGCAACTTTAACACTATGAACAACCACGAGCATCGTTTCGGACATCAAGGGTGATTTCCACATATTCTTTATTGTTGGATGTTGTTGTTTATGGTATGTTAAACCTTACACTCTTTCTTCTTAGTCTTTTATTAAGAGGTCCACTCAATGGACCACTGTAAGCTACCCTTTCGCTAACCGATAACTTTGTATCGGAGTGATGATCTTTTCTACCCATATCTTGCATCCGGATCAATGTATTGTAACTTAGAAAAGGTTTCAAGCTCTCTTTATGTGTGTAGTTTAAGACTAACTAGAATTTTAATAGATACTAAAAAACTAGAGTATGTGATAGTTTTGTAAAAGCAAACAACAAAAGAAGAAACCAACTATTTAAAGCTAAATTACGAAAGATACTGCTATAAAGAAAGAATGTGAGGGAATTCTTTTTCTTTTTTTCCCTCTTTTGACTATTTGTTAATTTCTTTCCTTAAGTGAGCCATAACTAGTTATGTAAATATACTTGTAGAGGTTGTATGTCCCTATTGACAGAAAAGCTGGTCCGGATACAAAAAAGATATTATTATGTCTACTTATTACTAATGACATTTAGATAACATAATAATAATTTTTTTTGAAAGATACTTCAAAATAATCACATTCAAATGAAATAAAGTGCGAGCGACAAAAAGTAATTATGAAAATGTCAAAACAAAAATGAATTATGCTATCATTACATTTAACTATAACATTATGTATGCAATCTTATGCAATTAGTCATTTTTGTTCAAGTTCTACGTAATTACATATCGGTAAAACAAAACAAAGAACTTTACCCATTTCTAGCAAAGTCAAAATGGAAGGCGGCGATTCCTTCCTTTTCTAATGCCTTAGCAAGATTCACCATAATATCGTTTTCTTGGAGATGAAGAGAAAACATAATAAAATTTTCCAAGTTAGTCTTTTACCCTTTTATTTTTTTCATAAAAAAGAAATCAAACATGAAAACGAGACAAACCTTTGGGAAACAAAAACCCTAGCATAATATAACAATCTCGTTAGATCCATTGTCATGTAATAAGCCCATCGAGTTTTTCATCATGTTTGTTTAATATTATCACTTTCTACCGCCCAATGACTATAACCAAGCATACTAGAGTTTTTTTCTTTTTCGGACGATCGCTCGAGGAGGAGGGGAAAGGTGGTAGCTGGTCGTACTTACGCTTGTAGTTATAGGAGAAGGGTTGGAATTTGGAGGGGGAAACACGTCTATATTTAGGGTTAGGGATTGTGATTTGAGATTTGGGATTCGGGTTAATGAAGTCCGAACTAAAAAAAGGGCATATATATATATATATATATATATATTAAATTTTGGTTTTTCGATTTAAGCTGGTTTTTCAAAAAGAAAACCTAACTCGAACCCAAAAACGAATTTATTTCGGTTCGATTTTTTTAAAAATATATATATAACAAAAATCGTATCAAAATTGATATTTTAGTACGATTCAATTCGGTTATTCGGTTTTCATCGAATAGTGAACACCCTAGTGAAAGCACCTGGATAGTGGCTCGTTGCGTTGCCTGTGCGCCGAGCTTATATGCTTGGCAAGCCATTGTCACGCACCCGACGCGCGGGTTAGGCGGCCAACATGTCCGGCGCTCACACGTTGCTTGGCTCGAGCACCTAGCGCGCAATCCGGCGAGCCAACAAGCATATCCGCTACGCGCTTAGTGTGCGGCTTGGCAAGCCAACAGCTCGCTCGTTATACGCCTAGCACGCTCGTCGGTAGTAGGTCGCCACACATATGAGTGTTGATGTACAACGTCGACCTCGTGTGCTCCTACTAATTTTGACCTAAAATTTCAGTTTTATATTTATATAAAATACCAAAAATAAGAGATTTATAATCATACATAGCTAATTCATGTAATTAATTATAATTAACCAATCATACAATCAAAGATTTAACGGAGACTCTCATACTAATTGAAAGATCATGCATCCTATGGAGGTGCGGAATAAATAAATATTTTCCTCCCTCTAAGGCTCCAAGATCAAGCCGTTGAATCTACTAATCATACATACATGAATAATAAGCTATAATTTAAAAGATTACCTCTTGTAATGCAAATCTAAATTCCTTTTTAGAAAAGTCATCTAAGTGTTCGGCCTCTATTGATAATCCATATAGTCCAAGTATCTACTAAGAAGCACTTAAAATGAGTAGGGTGTTAGCTCCACCTTTTTTGATTTAGTATTTTCTCTAGAAATCAATCCCGAGCAATTTTTTGACAACCTTTAAAGTGAGGGATAGAGTGTTTCTTGCTAAGGTTTAGGAGAAAACTAGTTTCTCCTTATTTTTCATTCTTGGCTGTGTGCCCCAATTTTATTTTTGAGTTGGATGAATTTTTTCTCTCCTCTTTTTCTTATGCTTGGTCAAATTTTTCTCTCCCTCCTATATATTTATAGTAGAGTTTCCTTATCCTCGAAAGGGCAATGAGAGGGCCGGCTATGAGTCCATAAAGGACTCTAGGTTATTACTTCCTTATCCTCTAAGGATGAGGAGTTATTTTATACGTGGACAATTTGATTATTATTTTTAAAATATTTAACCTTATCTAATAAGGTTAATGTTTATCTTTAAAACATTCAACTTTATCTAATAAGATTAATCTTTATCCTTCCACCAAAATTATCTCAAAGCTCTTAATTAAATCTAATGAGCCAAAACTATTTGAGCCTAATTAATTTATTTAGACCATCCAAATAAATATTCTTAGATTATTTTGGTGGGGTCCACATTAAGAAACAATTTTTCAAAATACCCTTTAATCTAAATTAGAAAACTCCTTTCCTTTTGGGTTCTTAATTTCCAAATTTGAAAGTAACTTTCAAATTAGGAAACTGATTTCTAAAGTAGGAAGCTTTTCATTTTAGGAAACTTTTCATTTTGGAAACTCTTTCCAAAATAGGAAACTTTTATAATTGAAAACCTTTTCTAATATCTTTGCTTCTCATTTATAATGTGAATACTTAAACTTATACATGTGACTTAATAAGCTTCTAAATATATTGACAATGTATCAAGAATAAAAGACTCATCTTTTATCTTTTGATACGTAAATCAAGATTGACCTCTAGCAAGACATTATGACTACCCAATTCTTTAGGAGGATTAGTTAATATATTATTACCTTTCATGAGCATGGTTACCATACAATTCAGTCCTTATGTCAACTTATCACGAGTGTAGTCTTGAACTTGGTAATTAGTCTTATTCGATTATGATCACATAAGTTTTCTTCGATTCCTAAATATCTTAGATCTTATGATAGACCAACTATGCTCTATTAGCATACTTCTACTATGGCTATAGATTTCTTGAGTAGACACTTATCAAAATGCAATTAGATAACTCATTTAGCATACAAGGAATAACATGTCCTATCTTAGTTGTACACCTATCTCCATTGGATTTCTAGTGCACCTAATGAATCATCTATGTGTAATGCATTAATGGATTAATTGATACGAGTGTAAAAGTGCATAAATCTTTAAATGAGATAACCATGATGACTTCAAGTCTAAAGATCATTTGTACCCATCTCGTGTGAGATTCCCATAAGCTAAAATCAAATGGGTTCTCATGGTGAGTCAAGTTCGGTGATATGTTCTCTAACATAAATCACCTAAGTGCTTGTCTTAGCATTGCCATGCCAATACGTGTGAAATCGTTTACTACTATCACATAGCATGAGCATAGCACTCATAAGTTTATCTCGTATTTTTCAATGTTCATTCTTAATAATACTACGACTTGGGACATTTAATGATATCATTTATGTGCATTATTATTTGTCTCACATCTTTCGATCAATCATTATTGCAAATGTATATCATAAGGACTTCTATCTAATTGTACTAAATTTATCAACATGTAAACATAAGAATTAATAGAATGACTTCTTTATTATTAGTAAAATAAATGATATAATAATACATTAACATGAGCCCATCCAAACATGTTGGATCTTGGGCACTAACACTAACACTTCCAAGTCTTGGCTAGCCTACTTAACTTAGACTTGAAAACCATAAGTTTGAGCATTTCAAGTGATTTATTCCCTTATTGAGAGAGAGATTGTTTGTGTTATCTTTATTTATGTTTTTTTTTTTAACTTTGTTTGGCTTAGTTGGCTAACCATCTTTTTTGTAAGTCTTGACACTTGGAATTTGGTGGCTTTAAGTACGAAAGAGAAACGATCTTCACGCTTAATGTCTCTATTGTTATGATTCATTGCATTGTCTTATGTTTCCTACAAGAGTAATGATTACCCATATTAAGAGTTTGGGAACCAAATTTATTAACTTATGTAGTGTTGCCAAGTCACTCGAGGCTATCTTTTGGATTTGAAATGTTTTAATTAGAGAATGAGGCCCTTCATCGCCTATATATAAGACTTGTTACTAGAGAGAGTGTGTTTATATTATCTTTTTTAGGGTTCTCTTTGTTGACTTGCCTTAGCCCGGCTAGTCAACCAACGTTTTTTCCTAAGCCCTAACACCCCGAATTCGGTGTCTTTGAGTAAGGAAAGAGCAAAGGTCTAAACACTTGACATGTCTATTGCTATGAGTGACTTTGTTTTCTTATATTATCCTATAAGAGTAATAATTATCCATATTAAGAGTTTGTGCTCCAAATTTACTAACTTTTATGATGTTGCCTTGTCAATCCGAGGCTATCTCTTGGATTTGGCATGTCTTAACTAGGGAAAGAGGCCCTTCATTACTTATATATAGGACTTGTTCATGGAGTCCTCTTTGCTTTTATATACTTCAGACTTTACTATGGGACATTTCTAGGGCATCGTTTGATATTTTCTAGAAAAAAAACTCGCTTGTTTTTCTTTCTTCACTTTTGTGCGTCTCTTTTTTTCAAGAAGATTTATCTTCGATGATGTGCTTATTCATCCAAATAGATACATATGAGGTAACATTTGATCTTTTCTTTTCCCTTTCTTTTTATTAAATTGTAAGACGAGTGACCAGGAGAGAGTTAAGGGTACATTTAGAAAGGTACCTAGTAGAGCTATGAGAGGAGGCATCGATTCTAGCTTTGGCAAGATTTTCACTCCTTGAAGTAAGCTCTCTTTCACTATTGGAGGGCTAAGTTGTGTGTGTCATTAGAGATTTATTGTTTATGTTTATTTTTCGGGAAAAAAATTTCTTTCAATTCTAGCCAATGTTAAAGATAAGATGAACAAACCCTCTTCTAGTATGGCTAAGGAGAAACTAAACATTGTTATCCCTACATGCATACTAGAGTACGGTTTTATATTTCATTTGACTAGTTTCATGGCAAAGGTGGTTGACTATTTTTGCTTAAATATGAGGTAAATTTACCTAAACGGGTGGAATGTTTTAGTTGCTTTTGATTACTTTTGCCAAAGTCTTAGGTTAACCCCAACTCTTAGGCTTTTTAGATACTCTCATTACTTGACTTGTGGATTAGTGAATTTAGAAAGAGGGCTCGGATGTACATTTTTAAAGCCCATACTACAAGCCTATTGAAGGAAGTATTCGTGAAAGTCTCTAATCTAGCGAGTGATGAGAGGGAGAAATGGTTCATTGCTTGATATCATAGAGTGACTTTCAAGGTAGCCGTTATAACATTTATGGATGTCTCTCTCTATAGAGGTCTTTTTGAGTTAATCCTAGTACTTTTCCTCTTCATTCAAGTACTTGAATTGGCCTTTTAGGACCTAGTGAAAAGAAAAACAAGAAAGTATAGGGTTAATATATTACCTAGAGGGTGATTCTCGATTTGCGGCTCACATGATAGACAATTAGCTTTTGACTTGATTTTGTTTGTAATTTGTGCCTCCATCTTTTTTCTAATATTC